TGCTGCTTTACAGGCAAGATCAAATTGTTACACATGATACAGGCTTCGCTAAAATAAGTTACTCAGTTATGTTGATATGTTATAAGGCAAATAGGTCATAGAATCAAGGAGTTAACACTTTTCACATATGACTATAAATAATGTTAATAAGACTCGATTTGTCAATACAAGAGGTTGCGTCGCAACGTACAACTGATAGTCGAGAAAGGATCCACGTAAATTCAAGTGCTTCTGGAAAACGTAACATTATGTCCTTCTGGAATATTTAAGGTATTATGGGTGGTGTGAAACCAAGTTACATGCTCTTTACGTGTTTCGATGACATACCATAACGGCTCTGGAAAAGAGAATAACAAGGAAAGGACGAGAGAAAAAGCGTACGATGTTCATGACTATTGAAGTTGAGTCTTTTGTGATGAAATAATTATGGTATGACTACTTAAACTTATTCTCTTTTATCAAGTCAATTTTAAAGCAAGTACGTTTTAGAAGGTTAAAGAAAACAAGCCTAATTATGGTAGTGGATGGACAAAGAACTGTATGAAGGAGATGATTCAAAAAGAAGCTGAAAGTTTAGGATTATGTTGTATCGGTTTATAAATCACCAAAATAAATAGCTCTGCACGTTTTCGACATTGGATGCTGACCACATTATTCTTAATGGACTTGTAGAATTATGGTGTGCTATGGTGTTAGTACTGCTCTAGTAATAAACCTAATCCTAAAATCGTAGATTTATCATGATATAACTGCCTAATCTATAAGGTCTTACGTGGAAGTTACATCATCGTCTACACCAACTCACTACATCGTAACAATTACCAATACATGATGGAGAACAAGCTTAGGCTAGAGATAGAACAATATATTTAATATGAATAAAAGATATAAGGTAACATTCCGCAAGGACCACGCCTGCATGGCCGAGCCATGCCATTCGATCAACTCTAATTCATTCAGCCCCTTGTTCCCGCTTTCTCCATCGTTAGGTATTTCTCCGCGTTAAATATTGAATATCTATTTTCTGAAAAGTCTCTTGTCCAGCTTTGAGGATTATGTGGTTATGATCCAATGCCACTCGGTCATGCACCCGCACCAGATCATGAGTAGGAACTCCGTGCTCAACAACCCCTGCAATCGCCATCCAGATTGGATCAAACGCTCATCTATATATTGATAGCCTATCAAATATATCTTCGAACCTCCTTGCTTCTGTATTTTGATTTCACTTGGTGGGTAAGATTCATATTAGGTGTTACTGGTTAAAGCGTTGTCAAACTCAGAATACCTGTAGCATCTTCAATGTCAAGGTTTATGATATAGTAAAGAAAACACATTACTCGGATACACAAAAGGCACTCTTTTTAGTTTTTGTTCGTCAAAGCTAGTTCAGCTCATTGTTGTAGCAGTAAATAAATCCCCAAAAAGGAACAGACTCACAGTTGCAACTAGGTGTACCACATCACGTCGGGCTCACCAATGATGATGTCACAGGTATTCAGTGTTTGACAACGCTTCTACCAGTAACACCTAATATATTTCGTTCCCACCAAGAGAAATCAAAAGACAGAGTCGAGAAGATAGGAAGAGTATATTTGGCGATGACCAATAAATCGGAATTCTCAGATCTAATCTGGCTAGCGATTGCGGTTGATGTTGAGCACGGCGTTACCACACGTGATCTGGTGCGGATGCCTGACCGAGCGCCTTCAGTTAGATGAGTCCACTAAAACATATGATCAGCATCCAATGTCGAAAACTTACAGAGCTATTTATTTTGGGGATTTATTTACCGCTACATTGTTATAGACTTCGTAAGGTCATGAAAGGACTTCGTTTTAGTGTAACTGTCTAGTTTTGCTTGTAATAGGGATTCACGGAAGGAAATGAAACTAACTCAAAGTTCCAAGCATGAGTCAAAGATGTATTTTGAATAATAAATGAGCATCAATAGCAGTGCCTAATTACATACAGCTACACTCTAAGGAGTCATAGTTTAACATAGTTTTCCGCCCTACAAACATGAGTAAATTGAGTTTATCTCCTTGTCATCATGTTTGCTGGTCGGTAGCACCGCCCTCCCTCCTCTTGTGATTTGGGTTCTCTTATTGGTGTGGTATGCATTAATATCGCTTTAATTTAACTCCATGTTGTACACCTAGTTGATATATACTGTCTGTACTACATCTGTTACAAGCAATTCAGATTCGTATTGTTGGTATATCACATTGCTATAAAGTTGACTAATGGTATAAGATACTGGTCAGATGGTATGTGATTTGAAGATGACAAGGACAGATAGATCAGAGAATACGCAAACAGAGTTTAGGGTTGCAAAATTTCAGAGTAAGACGACTGGTAAATAAGGAAATTAAGCATTATAAGAAACTCAAAAGAATTTAGGATATTATTATCGGCCATACTTGAGCAGCATCCATAATGTTAGTGAGTTATTTGCCTGCTTGAAATAGAAAATAAAAAAATACACGGTACTTCTTATGAAAAATGATGAGACTTTAGACATTAGAGAGATGGGAATTTGAATGTGAAGGGTGGAAGTATAAGGCCATGATAAATAATGAGTAGTAGAAAAAGTTAAACCATGTCTTTTTTCACCTGGTCATACGTATATTAATGACACTGAGAGTCAACTATATTCATGATCGGTCTAGATATTGGGAGGTCTATAATAAATCTCCGCAGTGTTAGGTGGGATTTCTGGGAATAGTTGATGAAGCTCTTTGGAGTCGAATAACAATGTTATTAGACTTTTGAACTTGGTGATAGTACCACAGTTACAGATAAGTATTGGCAACATGTTCCACAGGGTCAAGGAACCTAAAAGCGTCACTCCAAGAACTTGTTTAAGACGTGATATTAGATAAATTAAAAATCAGTTTGGTCAACTAAGGACTCAAGACATCTCCAGAGCAACTCTACTAAATGTTTTTAGACTGCGTACCTAGAAAACAAACTTGAAGGAAACTCATACTAAGATATATAAGGTAGTAATTAAAGTTCAAAACGAAAGAGTTCTGACTCCACAAAACGAAAAATGATTGAGAGTCAGGAATAAATGTCTAAATAAACCTGTTGCCGACTGATTATGTTAAAAAACTAGGCTGGAAAGGAATAGCAAATTTTTCGGTTATGAAGCCTTCAAAGTGAACTGTGCCTCTTTGAATGCTTTACGAAGTCAAGTGGTTTGTCTTAATATCTGTTCCACAAATGCCTGAAGTCTTCTTAACAAGAAACCGCAGCTTAGTTTAAAGAGAGACTACTGGACCGAGTATCATTGAAACATGTTGAACACAGTAGGGAACGTGATCTTATAAACTCCTTACCGGTAGGATACGACAGAAATCAGAAGTATAAAAGAGCAGGAATAGTTCTGTTTGTCGTAATCGATAACTTGCCCAATGAAATTGAAATGTGAGAATTAGTTAGTAGCCGCTTGAAACGCGAAGAACGAGGCCTGATGAGTGTTTTAACTAATCTCAGTCCAAACTGTAAGGTGAATAAGGTCTTGCTAAAAAGACTCATCAATTGGCTTTCAAGTAGTTTGATGTCTAACCAGCAGAATCAACGGACTGTAGAAAATTTGAAGACTCAGATATTAGAAGTTAGCTGGTATAACATATGAACGAAAAGGTTGCGTACAACACGAATCGTCATAGCCGAATTTTACATCGATCCATTACGAGGACGATATCACATACCTCGATTACGTCCCACCCCCGAGTTAGTGATTATGCATTTTCGAATACTCATTTCCACATGGGTGTCAAAAATTGTGTTATATCAACCCAGACCAAACATGTTTTTCGTCACAAAAACATATTAGTAGCCGGCGACTTTTTCAATGCGTTGCCCAAAAATTTAGCTTTCACTGACTTAATTTAGGCCTTTATTGAAAACCAACATAAAGGACTATAACAAAATTAAATGTAATAGTTATCGGTAGTAACTTATTTGTAGTTAATTGCCAATGTCAACTATGGATTGACTTCAAGTTGTCTATGTAGGAAACGTTTCATCAGAGTACCGTTTCACATGAAGTATAACTCCGGGATATAAATAACCTGTCTAACCCCCCGTCATCGGTTTTGTTATAAGTTGAAGAAATCAAGATACGGAGAGCGATACAAAATGAATATATTGGTCAAGATTTTCAAAATAAACCACAGAAAATAAATGAATGGTCTAAAACTTGTCAGTTCCCCATAAATACTTCCATATAGACTAAGATACATACTGATCTACAAGATGAAGATGCGTATACAAGAAATTTACGTTGAACCAGTTGTTGCTCAGACACACAGTGTTCTAGAAGTTCTCAACATTTAAGACTTGGAAAACTCCGCACATGGTAGTGTTCAGTATTGGGACTTTTTTGTCAATATGCAAAGCCTTAAGTCATACTGATGTTAATATATTTTGACTTAGCATACAGTGTTCGTCCATCTTTTAAATAAGTGATAAATACTTTACTTAAAAATGGCATTCATCTTTAGCAGGAAGTTGATAAAACCACATCTGAGTTTATTCACGGGATCATAAAGCTACTGTGTGACCAGAAACTTGTTAAAGTAAGCCTATTGTATTTGTTATACAAAAGAATCAAAAGTGACTTGATTGCCGTTTTGAATCAAATCAAAACAAATTTTATCCGTAACACCATCATTTTTTCTTATCTCCCAAGGCAGATAGTTTACGAGGAAACTTCAAAAGTATTCACTAGCCCAGAGCAAAGTACTTTTCAGCCGACAGTCGCCTTTTTAAACAAATCATAATCATCAACAGGTGGAATACCTTAAGTGAGTAGGTGGTCGGAGCTCCATCTGTTGATAAGTTCAAATACAAAATTTGTGTTAGTTTACAGAACATAATCTCCAGGACTAACACAAGCCACCAAACATTTTGTTCTTTGAAGTACAAATAAAGCGGTCACTGTTATACATTGAACACGTAAATACACACTTTCGAATCATGACTACAGGATGACAATTGGTAATGTCCATAACCCAGGTGAAGTTAAGGTCTCTGGTGTCGGAGAAACAACCTCAGAACCTGACTGCTGCAAAGTAGAGATCTTAGTGTGCTCCAAAAAACCTACATGCACTTTAGCTGAAGAGAGCGCAAGAAAAAGAGCTGAATACGCTCGACAAGTAATTTATAACCGACATCTCAAAGTAATTACATTATTCATCGTCTTGTTTTAGCAAAATTTAGAAGTTCAATGTTGTCGAGCACTTCGATACGGTCACAGAAGATAATGGTGTGAACGCTGTGTATAAGTTTGAGATAACGACGTGTGACATTTCTGGAATGAAAAGCCTTTTGGGATATCTTAAGTCCAAATTACCAACATATATAAGACTTGGAACCGTGGAGTGCTTCTATTCAAAAAAGCGGATGTTTGAACTACGGTAACCGAAAGTTTCTTATTTTTAATACTACATTTGACCCTCATTCCAAATGTGATTGAAGCTCTGTGGTAAAAGTTACCTAAACTCAAGCAGAAAACACATCATAAGTTCTTGATCTTCAGTATGACTTAATCAGCATTTCTCTATCGCTTTGAGAACAAACTATGTGATTGCATGTAGACCAGCTCAGTTATTCAGTTGTCTATCCTTACTGTAGGTACATAAGAAGTGAATTACTTAAAGTCAAATTGCTTTTTAGAGGAAGCGTATCATTAAAAAGCTTTTCGGTTTAGTTTGACTTGATACATCAACTTTTTGTAACTGAGCTTTTACTCAAGCATCATTTTAAGGAGAAAGTTTAATAGATATAGAAAGCGTAATACTTATGTTATGGCCAAATTCACAGGGAAACATTCCTAAATAGCTTTAGATATTTGAAAAGTTTTGTTCCATAACATCACGATTTTTTAGTTCAAGTTGAAATTTTATGACTGTGTTGTTTATTCTGTATGTTATTCAAATAACAAACTATTTCTTCTATCAAATTATAAACCAGACATAACAAACTGACTTCTGAATAAAAAATTAATTATCTTAAGGACCATCCTGAATGAGATCGCTTCTTCTTGAGTTCTTTTAGAATGAGTCTGTAAGGCTTCATGAAAACAGGTAAACAGATCCATCTTTCAATTGTGATTTGCAAAAAATATTTTTGTTACGTACTTTATCTTGAGTCTGCACTAGCTGCCAGTCGGTGTAGATGTTTGACTTTGAAGAAACAGACATTTAAGTAGTTTTGATTTGTGACTTTATACACAATCAAAGCACTAGCGTTGTGGTCTCTTGCGACTTCCAGAATCTTATAACAATTCTTGGAGTGGATTCTGAGTTAGATTTTAAGAATCTAGGAGTTTCTTCAAGAAAACACTTAGTAACTACGTCTTTATAAGCTTTACAGTATAAATATTTCTAGCGTTATAATCTTTAAATTATATTAATCTTACCGGAAATCAATTTAATCGCCCTTAAATCTCGACGCACTTGTTCTTTGAACTTTAAAAAACCTATTGTCAGTGTTATCGTGAATATATATATACAAAAACAGTGAATCAAGTTTTGAAGTTCAACTATGACGCCGAAATTTAGTTAGTTGTTAACATCAGGGATTTTTAAGTCTTAGTTTCAGACATTATAAAGTATAATTCATTCCTTTTTAATTGAAACTAATGGCAATGACATCTTTAGTACCACTCATTTGCTTCTATCCTTCCTCATAAATGTCTCCAACAACTGAATGTGGTATCGAAGTACTTGGTTCAAAATTACAGCACGCCAGAAGTAATTATATTTATCAGTATAGGGTTGTGGAGATTGTGTTTCAATGAAATCGTGAGCCGATCAATGTTGCACCACCATTGGAATTTTATCAGTCATTTGAGGTTTTTCAGTTTTTAGTGAAAATCGGATACATCGAGTTAGGTTTTCAAAAACGGTTTGTGTCATGAACTAAAACCATACGCAGAATATCTGACAACAAAGGAGCACTAGAAACCCATTTTATCATTGTATCTGGGCGTATTCATATAGCGTAACAATGATCCTATGAACTACCAAACCACAGACTTTTAAAGGTGAGGATGACACTATTTGTCCACTGATTTAGGATCCAATGATCCATGTTTTTTCTAACTCCAGTCAGTTGTATGGTGTTTTAGGGAAACAACTGTCCCAACCCAAACCCGTGTAAGTCCATAAGTCTCATCTTTTCTTCAGAGCCATGGCAAATCTGTCCTAAGTCTAGTCATGAGTACGTCCAGGACTATTCATATAAGTGGCTTATTGGATAGTCTCTTATGTTTAAATTAATACACACAAAAATCAAATCCTTAGTGTCCTGTTTACGGTTCTCTTGCAACTTTTTATCAGTCAGTATTATTTATCATCTAAAAACAGGATTTATGTTGTTAAATTAATAAAAAGCTATTTAGCAACTTGTATGTGAATCTGTTCTTGTTGTAAAAGTTTCATAATAAAGTTTTACCATATTTTGAAATAACTTTTAGCAAAGAAGCTGTTGAACAAGCCGTTTCAGATGCTAAACATAAAGCTGAATTAATTGCATCGGCATTTGGACAAAGAATTCAGGGTTTGATCAATGTTATTGAGGATGAATGTGATGTTACTGATGAGCAGCTGCAAATAACTACACCAAGATCAAATAACTTCAATGATTACTATCAATTAAAACAACCGAACGATAAAAACAATATCGATAGTGGCGTCGGTCAATCGTATGAGCGGCCATTCGACTGGAGTAAGCCATTACGCAATGCTCAAAGACATATACGGATAAAATTACATGTTATCTGTGCTTTAAGCAATTTTAATAACTAAAAAACGATTCAAAAAACTAGTGTTTCTTAAACAAATTAATATATTATTTGCTTTAACGAACTAATCTTTAGGATTTTATGAGAATAGTTAATCATCATCCGAGTATCAAATAATTTTCAAAGAAGTCCATTCCATATTTGATTATTTATGAAAAATAATTATTTAACGACTCTAGTTTCCATGTTGCTTGTTATTCAAATTAAATTTTTTTAAAGGAATTTTCAACATTTATGTACACACTGACCATTTCTTTATGATAATAGGGCACTGGAAATTCTGATTAAAATAAAGATACATGAATTCTTTCTAGTTCCTTTTAGTAACATTTCTTTTTGTGATTACTTTTCACTGAAGATTGGTGTAAAGTAAGGAAGCATTGGAAACATTGGAGAATTTTCAGCAAAATCGAAATAATATGAACAAATTTCGAATAGTGAGTTATTGTTTTAGCTAATAGAGTAATATCTTGACGGTGAATTTCTGCATCATCGAATCAGGGAGCATCCGACTATTAGCTGATTCGAATTTTTAGACTAAATAACAAAAAGATTGTTAAATGTCTTTCATACACCCTCCAATTGGTGATGGTTCAAGAATATTTTAAAAATGAAGTGATTTTACCATTCGCTTTAAGAAATGTTATATATGAAATTTGATTTTTATTGAAATCAACGAATTAATGTAGAACGTATATACAGAACAAGTGTACTGTGTTCTTGTTCTCAATGATACGATGTAATGTTAAAATAACAAATGGATCATTAAATGTGAGTGGTCATTAATTACCATTCCTAAGGAGTATGCTGAATGGTATATATATATAACTCCAGATCTTCCAAATTTGTTCACTATATATTTAGAGTTTCATATTCCCATTTTACATTTCCTTCAGCTAACTGTCATTTGTGAACACTAAAGTAAGTAGAATTATTGTCTTTCTAGACCGTTTTGAATGTAATTTATAAGTTTACATCCGAACTTCAATCCATCAATACATATTCCGACCCAGATTAAGAACTTTTACTTAATGATCGAATGACGAACAAAGATATTTAAAAAAACCGAAAGACCGTGTGAACTTTCTATCAAGTGACTGACAAAGTTACAACTACTTTTATGAAACTGACATGATTAAGGAATTAGAAAAAGGTAATATGTTGACAACTCCAGGATATTGGAGGTTGAGATCAGTCCTAACAGACAAAAACTGAACACCGAAATATTAATTTGTGTTAGTAAGAAAGTTGTTTACAGCTCGGCTATTGAAACTGAAAAGGATAGAGCGTGGAACCTAACTAGTGAAGGTCAAATATTTAAACGACAAAGATAATTTCTAATAAGCTGTCCTAATAAAATAGGCGTTACTTGCACACATTCAAACAAGTCATTAAGAAATTGTTACTCCTGCAATAATACGAAATTATCAATTAAGTAACACCTGAAGTCACCCTTTTAAATTTGAAACAGAAGTATTTCTTCAATTTTTTAAATTTTATTTATTTTACGAGGAATAGTAGTGTAGTTATGAGTACAAAAGATAAGTGTTGGGTTTAGTTGCTGTTTTCCTTGATATGAATTATATACAAAATACATAGAGATTATTGCGGACTGGAAACAACAAAATTTGTCATTATCTAATGCATACAAATAAAATGAGACATTCATTCAAGGCGCATCCAAATCAACATACGACCGTCTTGGATAGCCACGTCTAAAAATAGATTGTGAGATTTACTTTGATAATAACAATAGTTTTGATTATATATATAAATTTCTATTCGCTAAAAACAAGTTTTATGATCTTTGAGTAAATACTTTACAAACATGAACTAAAATTTAATTTGATTATCTGATCTCATATTTTGATTTGCTCAATAACATCAAGCTTAATAAATAAACTGTGAAATCTTGATCCAGTGTTCTAAATGGTAGATCTCAACAGTGAGGAAGTAGCAGTTTGAAACCTCGTTCTACTCCTTTATATTAAAGTATGGTACATACTTAAACTTCACAAAAAAAGATTGATGATATAGTGTCAAGCGCAGGAATCTGCAATTCAACGTTGGGTTCTAGCAATATTGTGTGGTCCATCGGTTGGGAGTTATGTTCAACCAAGTGTGTTTTTAAGTAAGGAAAAAAATTATCTTAGCCTACACTCTAGTCGATGGACCACAAACATTCTGTTCAGTAGATGGCTATCGGCTTCAAAAATCGTAAGTAAATGTCAACATCTACTAATTAATATAAAATTTGCATTTGGTTCAACTTAAATAATGCTTAGGGTTAGTTCTCGTCACAAACTGCCACCATTTGTTGGAGCATTGAAATCCAAGTGGAAAGAGGCAGCTGCCTTATACATGTGCTAGAATTCTCGGCAGCGGATAGCCACGACAATAAACTTGGAGCTGAACTGAAGGCCTTGCAGTGAGCACAATCTCACTCTTAATGAGGCGCTGGGTTGGTGTTCAATGGTATAATCGACAAATCTAATGAATTAACTTCTACGCAAATTACTAGCTCACCACATAATTTACAACAGAATGTACACTTTCCTGAGTACACACCAATTAAAGTACATAAACACTTGCTAAAACCTAAACCAATCGTCAACAAAACACTTTACTAACCGATTAAAGTTATATCCACCAGTTCGTGGACCATTATAATAACTACGTTGATTGCTACCACCATATGGAATTCGGAAATTCGAATACTGTTGGCGACCATATGGTCGAGGGTAGAATGGTAAGTTACTGTGTATATTATCCCGTCCATAATTCCCTCCCATATTTCCACCTTCATTGCGATTGCGTCCATACTGCTGCCATCTTTGTGACTGGAAGTTATTTGATCCTTGTGCCCAAGAATTGGAACGTTCTCGTTCACTGGTTTCATTAGCTAGATGACTTGATTCTCTAGCAGTTCGACGAGATGGTGAGGGTGACTGAGATCGCCTTCTAGGAGATCTTGGCTCAGGAGGCAACTGGGGTCGGGCAGGATCCATAAGATAGTTGTTGAAAAAGTAGGCCTGAAAGATAACAGGGAAATTATCATGGTTTACCCATATCATGTGATAAGTTATCAAGTAAACGGACAGAGTCAATGATTAACTTGGAAAATGGACGACTGATTATTTATGGAAATAAGAAAACACGAGTTACCGGTACATAGAAGAAAGAGAATAATGAACAAGAGACTTTCAATAAAAAAACGGGAAATCAACATGAAACCATCAATACTAAACAAGGTAAGATAATACGAAACTACTGGCTTGTATGCAACTATAAAAGTGATTATATAACCACCTCATGAGTGAGACTTGCCTACGTAGAAATAAACACAAAATGTTAGAAACCGAAGTCAAGTCACTGTAGTCATATATATCACATCTTAATAAAAAGAATGTTGCCAATGTATAATATTTCAAATGTATTAGTGTAATATATAAGTTTACATCAGTTCAAATAGGTTAAATACATCCCAGTTACCAAGGGCAAGTTTTTATACTCAGCACTGATATAAACTGCTCGATTCCTACTGGTAATAAATGCCCTGTCGCTTAAATTGAAGTAGATAAAACGTGAATTGAACCAGAGACCTAATGGTTGAATGCTAAATATTTAAAGGAGAAATCTTAACTGTATGGAAATACCAAATATGGCGCATTTATTAATAAACACGGATAGATTATATGCAGGAAAAAAGTGTAAAACATATTGTGCAAGTTTGACAGAAAAAACTCACATTATCTTTCTTGGCAGCTTCAACCTTTTCCATATGTTTATTGAGAATATGTTTCTTAACGTAGATTGGATCTCGGAACTTCTTATTTGACAATGGGCAAACCCATATCACATCGCTTAAATAATATAAAAAATTAAATGAATAAATATTACAGTAACTGACCTACAAAACTTTGACACATACACTGGGTGAAAAGAACTAGTTATCACCATCAGTCAGTCAGTAACAACGTAGAACTTCGTACGTACGTACATCAGTTCGAGTTGCCACACCACATTAGCACAGAGATGCACTTGTCGATTCAAATCCCGTCGTGGTAGAGGTAATAAGAGTATAAGCAGTAATCGGGAAGATTAGGGTTTGGAGATGTTATTTAAAGAGTATAATCCAGTGAAAGAAATTTGGAAAGAGGAAAAAAAGGGACATGAAGAATTCAGAAGATTAGAATTTGGGAGAACACAGAGAGTGGATGCACCTGCGCCATTGCAAACGATTTTGAGCCATGTCATTCAGGGTCTCTAACCATCGGTTGCTGTCATCTCGCGGTCCCCAACCAGGTAGTCTACACCTACCAACATGACTCAGTTCACTTGTCAGTGACTTCATGGACTTGTGCCATGTTTTGGTTTGGCCGCCCCTAGCTTTCTTCCAACCTACTCCTATACCACTGAACATAGCACGTCGAGGCAGTCGGTCGTTGGGCATACGTAACACGTGTCCCAGCCATCTCAACTGATGAAGTTTCACTACGTCATCAATTGATTTGCCATCCTTACCTAGTACCCGTTTCCTAACAACTGTGTTACTTACTCGATGGTCCCATGATATATGAGCAATGTTTCGAAGACACCTATGATCAAATACTAGTAACCTACGGATATCCTCTACTCTTACCGGCCATGTTTCACTCCCATAAAGTAGGACGGAACGAACTGCTGCGCAGTAAACACGTCCTTTGGTTGATAGACGGATATCTCGCCTACGCCATAAATGACGCAAGTTGGCAAAAGCTAGTCGAGCCTTCTGTATCCGTGCTGAGATTTCGTCACACACTAAACCACAAGGGCTGATGAGACTTCCAAGATAAGTGAAGCGGTCGACACACTCAACTACTTCACTCCCTATCACTAGTTCGGGTGTCGATGTAACCCAATCCTGAAGCAACATTTTGCATTTCGAGGGAGAGAATCGCATCCCGAACATGCTTGCATTGTTGCTTAGAGTGGCCAGAAGACTCTGCATTTTGTCAGTGTCTT